TTTTCGAAATATTAAAAAAAATATATTTAATACTATATATTGTAGATAATTATATAATTTAAAGAACTTTAGTTTTCAACAATCTTGATCTCGATATATTATCTTCCTAATTAATCTGTAGAAAGTTTTAATCGCCATTCATTGTTTGTCATTATTAAAAAATAATTAATAAAAAATGTTTCAATATATTGTGCAAAAATATTAAGTTTGTATTAATTATACATAGTTGGTATAGTATACTATATCTTAATATTATAATTTAATTTAAAGGAAAAAAAGGAAGAGAATAAATTATTTTCATGATATACAAAATAAAATATTCAGATTTATTTAAATAATTAACTTAAAAGATATCACATATAATACTCCTACGTTATAAAATATATAGCATTATAAAACATTATAAAATATGTAGCAATAAATCGATAAAATCTTATTTATTATTCTGATTAAATACATAATTACATAACATTTATTTAAAGTTTAATTTTAATTATAGAATTAAAACAAAATGATATTTAATAAAAAAGGATTTATTTGAAAGTTTAATTTGAAAAAATACCAGATTAGATCAAGCGAAAAAATTAATGTAAGTAATTTTATATTTTGAATTAAAATGAACTATTTCTATAATTAAAGTGTAATATAATTTATGTGAAACGAATTATAAGATATAAGTTATTTTCAATTTTATTATTAACCATAGAATAATTATTAAATTAATAATTATAACAGTATTGTGTATTTTTAAAAAAGATACAAAAAGATATGTTTTAATGAGATAATAATTATAAATTTACGATTAATCAAAAGTTTACTATAGATTTAACTTCGTTTGTAAATTATTCATTCTTTGAATCAGTCTTTACGAAACATTTCAGATATTTTTTTGGTCTGCTAATTTAAATCCGTCGCTGTTCTAAGTTTTAACGAGTTCGATATCTGCTCTTCCTCAAGAAAGTGAACGACAGCTGTGAAATGTAAATGCCGCAGAGGCACCGCAAAGGAACAAGAATCGTGTAAAGACATTGGTTCAATAAACGAACTTTAAAACAATTTAAGATACTTTCTTCTTTTTTATTATTAATTTTTCACCTAAATATTTTTTACATTAAATAATTTTTTTTAATTTAATGAAACATGTTACAAGAAAATTTTTTTCTCTGAAATATAATTATTCTTTAAATTCCATAGATAAATTGTAGTTATTGTGCACATTCTTTGCAAGATTAAGATCCCAAAATCATTTCATCTTCAATATTTTTTATTGCTGCGTCAGCTTGGAAAAGCAACAAATATTCTTTTAGTCGACTAGTTACTTATTCAACCGAAACGTTGAATAATATTTGATTTACGATAAAACTTCTTCCTCGATCGTCAACGCCAAGTCATCTTATCTTAGGTTATGCTATTTTACTTCACTTTCATACCAACATACTAGCTTAAATCCTAAGAAACAACTCAATCCTTTTCTTTTTCATTTTCTCATACAAGAGAAAAAAAATTTATTAGAAAAAAGAAAAGAGATAATTCCTTCTCATCTCAGAGATAGTATTTGAAAAAAATATTTATACTATAGGGTTATATATCTCTTTAAATATTTATATATATTTTTATAAATATTTTAATTTTATCCTGAAAAATTTTTTAGCAAGATCAAGAATAATATTTTAGAATATTTATATTAGAAAAATTTTTGTTAAAATATATTTTTTTATATCACTTCTTTCAATGCAAAATACAATTGTTCGATTGTACAATTTAATATTCTTTTTTTTTTTTTTTTGGTAAATATTTTTCGCAAATAAAATGATAGGTAACAGGTAAAATGACATAAAAATAAAAAAGAAGCTATGCTGATGCAAATTTTAAAAAGCAAAAAAGTTACTATACGTCAATTACTCTTTTATTGGATATTTTGTCCTAGAAACTGTGCTTCATATATTGTTTACTTACTATGAAGTAAGGTTATGTTTTACTAAAACATTTTTCGCAAGAGATATTGTAACTGACATATCACGAAAAATTCAAATATTTGCTGTGCGATACAGTAAGCGAATACAATACAATACAGTAGAAGCGAATTTAAAATTAATTTTAATAACTGGATTGCTTAAAAAAATAATTGATTTTAGCTATTTAAGAAAAAGAACTTTATTTTTTAAGCTTTATTTTCTGCCTGTTCCTTAAATTTTCTTAGAAGATAAAGTTTGAAAAATCATATAAAATTTGAAACTTTAATTCTATAATTGAAAAAAAAAATCGTATAAAATAATCGTAAAATAAAAATTTTAATTATAATAAATAAAGTTAAAATTTTTTTAAACATTTATTTTGCCACAATTCGTCATATGAAAAAATAAATCAAAATACAATAAAATATCAATTATCCAAATATAAAAAAAATACTATACTATTTATATCTATAATATGTTTATATATTTAAATTAACTTGTAAAGATTATTTATTAAAAAACAAACATGTAATTAATCTTTTATAATACCTTTATCTTATTGAATTATTTTACGTATAGATAATAGAACAATCCAAATTACTTAATACTAAGTATCTGCCAATCATTAAGCATCAACAAAGATTTTTATTTTTATTTTTATTTATACAGAAACTATCATTATTTATCCTTGATCAATAAATCTAATAATGACACGAAGTGTCAAATTTCTTTAAAAAAAAAAAAAACATTACAAAAATGAG